TTGCTTTAGAGGAGCATTGTCCCGTGGACACAATTTCCTGCGCTCCGTTCCCAACCGTTTTACACCCAGTTCCAGCCCGAGCAGGGCGAGCACCGGCGTTTGGCTTCAGCAAAGCTCAGGTGCCGCTGGTCCCATCCTGCTGCTGGCGCACGGTTCACAAGGTTGGGGGGTCCCTGTGCCCAGGGCGTGTGCATGTGGGGGGCCTTGTCCCCAGCGGGGGAGGTCCGTGTGTCCCCGTCCCCAGTGGGGAGGGTGTCCGTGTGTCCCCGTCCCCAGTGTGTGGGGGTGTCCGTGTGTCCCCATCCCCAGTGTGGGGGGGGTGTCCGTGTGTCCCCATCCCCAGTGTGGGGGGGGTGTCCATGTGTCCCTGTCCCCAGTGTGGGGGGGTGTCCATGTGTCCCTGTCCCCATTGGGGGGGATGTCCGTGTGTCCCTGTCCCCAGTGTGGGGGGGTGTCCGTGTGTCCCTGTCCCCCGTGTGGGGGGGTGTCCGTGTCTGTGTGTCCCCATCCCCAGCTGGGGGTGTCTGTGTGTCCCTGTCCCCAGCGGGGAAGGTGTCCATGTGTCCATCTGTCCCTGTCTCCAGTGGGGGGGGCTGTCCGTGTCCCCCTGTCCCCAGCGGGGTGGGGTGTCCGTGTATCCCTGTCCCACTGTCCCCGGGGGGAGTGGAGTGTCCGTGTGTCCCTGTCCCCAGTGTGGGGGGTGTCCGTGTGTCCCTGTCCCCTGTGGGGGGGTGTCCGTGTGTCCCTGTCCCCAGTGGGGGGGGGGGGGTGTTTTTTGCCCCTGTCCCCCCGACCCCGGAGGCGGCTCCGGGCCGCGCCGCCGCGCGCCGCCAGCAGGGGGCGGTACAAGCCCGGCCCCGCAGCGCCCCGGCCCGGAGCGGCGCCGCCCGCAGCCGCGCGCTGCCCGCGGGGCCGCGGGTTCGAGCCTCGCCCCCGCCGCCTCCGCCCCGCGCCGGGGTGCGCGGTGGCCGTTCTCCCGCTCCCGGGGGTTTTGGTCGCTGCGGTGCGTGGGTGCGTGTCACCGGCCCCACGGGACACCTCTGCGCGGCGAGGGCGGCTTGCTCCCCCGTCGGCACAAGGCGTGGGCAGCGCGGGCCCCGGCTCTGGGGTAGCTCCCAGCACCACCAGCATCGCGGGCTGAGGAAACGCGGCTCTTTCCTGCTCCCTTTCCCTCTGAGAGCTGAGCTCCTCGCCCATTTTTTTGCATCAAAATTCCTCGGGAGCCAAGGGAAGGTGCACGTGAGATGTGTAACGTCTCCCCGGTGCGCAGGAGCTGGATGGGGGGACGGGTACTCAGAATTATCCACACCAGCTGCAGGTGTGAATTGGGATGCTGAGCCGCACGGGGTCAGAGGCAGGACAGATGCCTGCCCTGCCAGCACAACCGAATTCTTCACCCTCTCCAGCCTGCTCCAGGTTTTACCTCCTCTAACACCGCCTTGTCTCCTCAGTGTCGCGCTGGTGTTTTGAGGATTCTGCCCTGAGACAGGACCCACGCACCAACCGACACTGGGCTGACCGTGGAAGGGAAGCAGCATATGGGCGAGTTAGACCTCAGTCCTACTCGTCAGGATAATGAACTCATTAGCAAGGTTTGTTTAACATGAGCTCGCTCTCTTGTTTCAGCTGCAGTTTCTTTACAGCAGTTGGTATCTTCCTAGAAATAAGCATTTATTTACATAATGCTGACTCCAAACCCCTGACTGCTTGTAGGGGCTGTAATTTATCCCCCGAGGAATGTCTGGACAAAGCACGGCACTAATTCTGCCACCTGTGCTGATGATGTGTCCAAAGGGACCATGTCAAGTCTCTATTAAAAGCTGAGAATAAGACAGAAAGCCTAAAATCTTTACTTACGGAGGATGTATGTGTGTAATATAAGGCTGCTGCTAATTCTTCCCAGGGATTAATAGAGACAATCAAGGACAATTTCACTCAGTATTGCTTTTCTTTTTGTAAAGCAGAGCTTCCCCAAACCTGAGGCAAAACAGAAACATGGCTTTGAGTCTGTGCCGTTCTCCTTCAGTCAAATGGAACTAGCTGTCTTTATTTAAAAAGTCTCTGCTGGCACCACGGTGCTGACACTTTCTGAGACAACAGAATGGACAGAAATCCATTTTCCAGGCTGGAAGGAAGGCAAGAAATAAATTGGAAGAATGAAGAGTGAGGAGGAATTGAGGTGTTTACAGTGCTTGTAGTGCAAGTGATTGGAAGTGATGGGAAGAAGGCAGGAAAGGGATTAATTTGTTTAAAATATAGGACTAGATTTGACTTTCAGGTGCGCGTTCGGTTGCCCAGGAACCCGGGCTGCCGCCGCGGGGGGTGGCTGTGGCCACGCACCCCACTCGTGAGGCAGTGAGCCCGCGTGTGCCCCGGGGGCTCCGGGTGGTCCCGTGGGAAGGCTGGAGCCTCTTCTGCTGCCCTGCCCAGGCCTATGGGCACCGGCTGGTGCGGGGCAAGGGAGCGAGCTTGGCTTGGTGGGGCCAGGTGAAAAAGGCTGCCCTGGGGAAACCCGGACTGTGCCAGACCTGAAAAGGTCAAGGTGCAAGATGCCCACCCAGCAAGGCGCTCAGGGCAGCGCTGTGACTTCAACTTGCTCCCTGCCAGCCGATGACAATCAGACACTGACAAAATATTGCAAAACTCAGCAAAGCCAATGCCTGCCCGGAGCAGCGGGGGAGGATTTGCTGGGCTCCTCAGGCTCTCCTGCCCGGCTCCCCCTGCGAGTCCTCGGCCAGTGCTGCTTTCAGCATTGCGCCGTGGAGCTCTGATGTCTTAGTGAGGCCTGAAGATGTGTCTGCAAAAATGCCTCTGTTTTTGCACGTCAGCTCCTCACGTTGCATCTGGCAAATGAAGTTTGTCCCTTTTTTGTGGCTGATAGCATTACGCTCACTTTACTTCACATCTTGGAAGCAGAAAGTTTCCTGTCTATAAAATTCCTGGAGACATTGATCTGTTGTTATCTCATGGCACCGATTTTACTCTGCCTCGCTGTTTACGCTCGGCACTGCGGATGCATCCAGAAATCAATGCTGCTGTTCTCCCTCCTTTTGACAGGCAACTCCTGAGAGCTGCTGCCGTGAGACTCGTGTTATTCTCTGTTTTTCCTGCCCGTGCTCTCATCGTGGCCCTTCCCTGAGATTATGTTTCTGTTTCTCGGGTTCCCTGTGTAGGAAACTGCATGGGTGAGCGATCAGACACAAGTAAATCTGGAAAGGATGCTCTTGACGTCTGCCCACGCACAACATGCCACAAGTCCCTGGGGCGGGCGCTACGCAGGAGTCCTGGGTCAGTGCGAGCCTGGGATCGATTTGGCAAGGCTTGCTACTGTTATAATGAGTGATTGGTATTAATTAAGCTGCTCTGCCCCTGTGGACTGCTGACAATGGAAGCTGCTAAACCAACTGTAAATGTGGCTGTGGGGATTGTGGGATTCTAACAATCCTGGGCTAAAGTCCAGTCCCAAAACTTGAGGAGGGTTTGATTCCTTCGGTTCTTACTAAAACCCTCTAGCTCCTTTCTAGGAGAATTTTAGTTCATGCTTTGACAAATCCTCTTGCTAGAATTTAGCTTTGGAGGCTGGCTCTGGGAGGATTTGTCCAAACTAAACCAAAAAGGAACACAGGTAACTTTACAAAGACAGATGCTTCCCTATTGCAGTGTTTCTGGTGAGTATAATTCAGTGTGTTACACTGGACTGGGGAGCTCAGGGAGAGGTTCCCTCCTTCTGCTTCCCTGAACAATTTCATAAACGGGAGCGGAAGAAAATCTACCCTGAGCAAGGCTGCTTGCACCGAGGCAGAGCGAATGCAGCTTCAACTGTTTTCCCCCGCATTTGTTTTCCAGTCTCTGGCCTGAATTGCCGCTGGCCAAGGGGACAGACCGACTGCCACACAAATCTGGCTATCGCCCTCGCTGCCGTACCGCCCGGTGAGGGGACGGGGGAAAAGCCCTTCATGAAGCTGAGCTCCGGCTAATCAGAACCCCGGGCGGGAGCTCCCAGCCCGGGTGCAGTCAGGGCTTACAACTCCTTTCATTTCCCCCCTCCCTTTCTCAGTTTTTGTTCTAGTGGCCTGATTTAGTCTGAGGCTCGCTGTGTCATTTTCCTCCCCCAGTGCTTTCTCCTCTCTCTTGGCCTGGCGGCTCTTTGTTGACATCGGGGAAGTTACCGTCCGTCGCCATTTGAACGGAGCCGGCTCATTAATGTTCACAGCATCCATTTGGAAAGAGTCATTTCTAGGAAGTGTCCCTGCAAGAGAACCGGCTGAATATTTGTACAAAGCAGCTCCATCACAGGGTGGAATTTGTGCTACCAGATTTAGGCTTTTCACCTTGAGAGATAGGATTCTGTTTATGTGTATTCTTAATAAGGAGTGACTATTTGCCCATTAAAAAAGCCTTCTGGCGCTGAGGTTACTTTTTTTTTTTTTTTTTTTTTTTTATTCCCCACATAACAATGAAGAAATTTTGTGTTCTTGTAGGCTGCAAACCTCTGGAATGTCTCAAAACCACCATTTGTCATAAAAAGGTGCTCTTCAGACTGTGGTGGGAAAATTCTTTTTTTTGGTCTTTAATGTTGCTCAACATTTTATTTTGAGATGTATGTAATTCTCCTAAGTTTTCCCTAGGCTTCTGTGACTGAATATTAGAGAAAAAATATCAGTGAATTTAATAATGTTTAATAAGTTATGATATTTATTGAATATTATTCTTCTAAAGTTCCTGCTGCTGTTTAACCTGCCATCTTTCTGAGCTGCAAGCTCGGGCAGCTGGGAATGCCCGAGGCTGCTCTGGAGCATTTTTCCTCTGCGGGTGTTAGTCTTTCCATAAACCCTTCCACTTTCCGGCATTTGTATTGTGATAATCTCTTCTAGCATTTCTTGCAATGCTTCATTTTAATATATATTCCCATGTCACTGCAGAACTGAATTCAGCCTCCTGGTAAGTGATATCTAAATCACTGCTGCGAGGAGAGAATGAAATATAGGTGCATGAGAGGAGGCAAAGGATATGACTGAATAAGAAAAACTCACACAGCAAGAAGAAATACCTGCAGCGATGTGTGAAAGGTGCCGCTTTCCTCACAGCTTCTGCCCGCTGCTGTTGTACAAGGTGTGTGCGTCAGGGACCACCACGGATACCTGCCTCTTGCCGTTTAACGGCGAGATGATCTGATTTGAGCGTGCAGCCGTGTTGTGCATGTGCAAAGGCTCGGGTGTGTGTTGCCCAGGCAGTGGCATGTCTGAAGTCATTTGGAAATCGGCTTCTGTACGTGCTCAGCCCCTGACTCGCGCCAGCAGCGCGTACGAGGCTGGAGCGGAGTGCCCTGAACGCCCCCCTGGGGACCTTCACGGTGACCACCCGGCCTCCTGCGTTTGGATGAGGCTCTTTGAAACGGAACCCGAAAGAAGAAACACAGGTGGGTTGATCCAGGCAGTAAAAACCCATTAGGGCGAGCAGCAGAGTCAGCAATAAAACCAGTTATCACCCTGAGAAACCCAGCAATAAAACCAGTTAGTGTAAATCACCCTGAGAAACCCAGCAATAAAACCAGTTAGTGTAAATCACCCTGAGAAACCCGGGGAGAAAAGGGGGAAAGTGGGTCTAGGGCTGGCGGTCAGTGTGGGTCCCGTGATGTGCTGGCGAGGGGTCGGCCCCGGGCTCTGGGCTCTGCACCCCGTGAAGGGCCGGGGGGGGTTGCAGTGCTGCTCCGTGTCCTTTCCCCGGTGCCCAAGCGCTGCGGTCGCGATCTCAGCGGGCAGCTGGGCTGCATCTTCCAGGGGAGATGGTTCTCCACTTTGCTCTGCGGCTCCAGCCCTCTCGGAGGGACCAAACTTCAGCCAGATGCCGTCCAGATCGAGTGCATCTTAAATGAAGCAAGAGCTCGTACAGCGATGCTGCGATGGGGTTGCTTCACTGAGTCCGAGCCCTCCGAAGCATGTGCTGGAGGACCTCCCCGCTCGGTGGGAGCACTCCTCTGGTTCTGCAAGAAAACACCTTGTGTGGTATCGAGGAGCATCCCGAGGCAATTTTTGCTGCCTTCTATATTCCCATGGGAAAGCTAGCCCACCCCTCGCCATGGTGGCAGCAGCTTTCTCCTAACTTCAACCTGAACGCACTGGCTTGTGTTTGTTCCTGTGCCAACATTGTCCCTGGGCCTGAGCAGCTCTCCTCTCCCTCTCCTCTCCTCTCCTCTCCTCTCCTCTCCTCTCCTCTCCTCTCCTCTCCCTCTCCTCTCCTCTCCCTCTCCCTCTCCCTCTCCCTCTCCCTCTCCCTCTCCCTCTCCCTCTCCCTCTCCCTCTCCTCTCCCTCTCCCCCTCCCTCTCCTCTCCCCAGTATTTACCCCTCTCCTGTGTTCGTGGAGAACGATTGTATCTCTGCTCATCTTTGTTCCCCAGGGCTGAGCGTGCCGGCCCCTCTCCGGTTTCCCAGGCAGCTCGGCTGCCCTTTGCTGCCCAGTTTCCATCCGAGTCCGTCGCTGTTGAACATGGGTGACCAGACCCGAACAAAGTCCGCAGATAAGATCTTCCCGGGGCCCTGCACAATGGAAACTTCCGTGAAGCCTGGCCAAGGTGTCTGTTGCGGGATGTGATTTTCCTTTGAAATACCCTTCTCTGCTGCCCTCGGCTCATTCAGCTGGCATAAGCATTGCTTATTCAAAATGATATTTATTGTTGGCTTTATACATTTCAATGCAACTTCATTTTTTACAGTCAATTCATGACACACTTTACAGATACAACTGAAATCAATTTGAAGCTTGGTCTTCACAAAGCCAACATTTATCAGGTTTCTGCAACCTCTCCACATATTGCTTTTTGTCAAGGAAATCTTTTTCCAGCCCTGCATTTGAAACAGAAATGAGCATTATAAGTCCCACAACTCCTCAGGGACTGGGAAAAGTGGATTGTTTCCTACTATAAGCCTCCTTGAATCCGTGCCCATGTGCTCTGTGTGCTGCCTTCCCATACAGGCAGCCCCATCAGCTTCCTGTCAGATTTAGATGCTTCAGTAATTCTCATGATTTCCCCAAAAAACAGTTTCCTTAAAGCATGGGGGGCCCCCCCTGGCGCCACCATTACAGGGCATCCTTTTTAAGACAGACAAGGGGGTGGAAAAAGCGGCGTCTGAGTGATCCAGGCCACAAAGGGAAACGGCAACCGATCAAGTCAGCGGTGACGTTACCTGGTATAAATCAAGAGGGGTGGCAGCTGGGTGCTGCTTGCAAGGAGCAAGAGTCTAGAGGGGTGCCTGCTCGTGAGACGTGGAGGTTGGGAGGAAAAGGTGTGTCTGCTTGGCTGCAGTTTTTATATAAGGGCAACTTCTTCCATCTCAGCTGCAGGAAAAAAAAAAAAAGGGAGGACGCGGCAGAGTCTCGACGACTTCCAGCAGAGCCCGAGCGGAGCCGAGAGCCCTTCCCGCGGCTCGGCTGGTGCAGGTACCAGCACGGCCCGTGCCTCGGGCTCGGCGGGCAGCGGCTGCGCGGTGACGGGGGGTCGTGCGGGGGGTGGTCGGGCCGCTGCCCCCCAGCTCTGGCAGGACGCGCATCGCGCCTAGTGCTTGGCTGCTTCGGGCTGAGGCTCTGCTGTGCTCCGAGCTCCTAATCATCTGCCTATATCTGCCATTTCGTGATTAAGGTGATGTTAACAATTATTATTTCTAACTTTATAGTTAGTTTATTTTTATCAATTGAACTTTAGTTTACGGCTTTTGAAAGTTCGAAAGAGCAAGAATAACCCTCAGAGGCCTGCCTTGGCAAAGACCCTTGCCAAAACACGCGTAACTTTTCATCTAAGGGATACAGAAATAACGGCTGCTTAAACATCAATTCGGGGGAAAATCAGTTTGGCTTTCTTTTGTGTGAATGTGTAGAATATTGGGGGCAAATCACAAAGGACCAGGAAAGGGCTTTTACTGACCCACACTTGAAGTCTGTCCCTGTGTGTGGACATGAACAAGTCCTGCTGCCCCAGGCTCAAGCAGAGTCTTACTCGAGCTTGACTAAGCGTAGAGGAGGGATTTCTCTCTTGACCTCTTTCCTTATAAAGACACTGGGATCCCTTCTAGAGGCTCTTCCCCCACTCTTCGCTCTGATGTCTCCCTTGTCACAGGCGAGTCTCCTGGAGATGACGATGTTGAAGCTCTTTGGAATCGTCTTTTTCTGTGGCCTCCTCTCACCCTCTCAGGAAGTCTTGTCCGGACTGTCTTGTGCCGTCAGTCCAGGGGCAATGCAGAACGGTAACTAGAAAATGAGTTATGTTTGTTTTGAAAGCTATGTGGGACCATGATATAGAGTAAAACCTCCCGAGTGTCTTCATCTTTATTTTATAGTTCCTCAGGGCTGCAGGCTTTGCTCAGAGCTTCTGACAGCCATTGCTGGGTTCGTGGGTCAGGGAAATATCTCTGCTCCAGAACTGGGACATGTTTCAGCACCAAACAGCCGCACAGAATTTCAGGACTAGATCTGGACTATTTCCTCTTTTTGTCTTAGTTTCTCATTTCCATGTTGGAGCAGCTGATATTTGGCAAACAACTGCTGTGAAGTTTAGCAGCTGTGTTAATATTTGCAATGCTCCAGCAAAAAAAAAAAAAAAAAAAAGAGGCTTGCTTCCAGTTGCTTCTATTAAAAAGCTACCATAATCCCAAAGAAAACCCCTTTACAAATGGGAAACAAGTTGTGAGTTGAAGCACGACCAGTGAGTGGGGTCACTCATTTCTGGCAGTGCACAACTCTACGGTAATCTTTAAGCGGGCGGTCTGGGATGCTCCCCACTGCTATCTCTCTTGGTTAACTCACTAAGGGCAGCCTTGGTCTAGTGCACGCTGTAAAATATCATCCCCTGTGTGACTTGGCTGCACTGAGACAGCTAACAGGTTTATGAGGGGTTTTGGGGAGTGGTGGGGCTTTGTTGTGCGACGGCTTTGCCAGGACAGACCTGACCGAGTGGAGAGAGGCCGCTGCCGCAAGTGCCGGTCCTCACGCAGAGCTGTTTTCCAGTGCTCTCGGATGCCATTCTCCAGAACGGGCTTCTCCAGCAGCACCTGCAGGGCCTCGTGCTCCCAAACATCCTGGGTGAAGGGGGTCTGCTGAACTCTCCCACCAGCATCACCGGGTAAGTGGAGAGCGAGGGCTTCTCCCTGAGCGCACCTTCGCCATCGTTCTGAAGCAACAGAAGCTGAGCTGCAGTTGGCACAGCTGACCCAAGTAGTTCTCCTGGGCTCATTTTGATATTGAAATGCTGACCTGATAAAAGTTTCCTGTGTGGTAGCAAGGTGGATGCTGAAGTGCGCTGCAGGTTATGGACGCAGATGCAGGATGGCGGCTCTGACGCTGCTTTTGGTACCGGAGGTGCTTGACAGCACCGAGGGAGGGAGGAAGGGGCCACAGAGGGGAAAAGTTGGCTGCTCTCTGAAGTTGGCTTCCACCCCCATCTGATTCCCGCTTGCCTTCTTTTGGGTTTCGGCTGCAGACTCTGTCTCTCATCCTGGAGCTGGTATCTGTTGCTTATCACACTGGTGCCTCCAGCGGAGGTGGCCGTGGTGACGCGGGCGCTGTAGGTTCCTCAGTGGGTACTGCAGGTTCCTCAGTGGGTACTGCAGGTTCCTCAGTGGGTACAGCTGCGCAGCTGTTAGATGATGCTTTTAAGTTGTGCCAGCTTCCCCTCTTGTTTGCAGCCTACACCTTGTCAAGGTTTGGCTTCCCAAGCTGTCGGTGGTGCTGCTGCCAGGAATCGGGGTCCAGCTGACCATCACTGCCAAGCTGGAGCTCAGCGGCAACTGGTGAGTGTGGTGTTTCACAGTGGCTGTTAAGGGAAACCCCTACCCACAGGCTTCCTACTGGGCAACGCTTTGCGTATTTTATGGGTTTCCAGGTGTTTCTTGCCTATAATAAAGTCACAGAGCAGAACAGGCATCAAAAAATGGCTTGTGGCGTTTTTAATGGCTTGCAGGAGATGGAGGCTCAGTTTGTTGCTTCTGGCTTTGCTGAGTTTCTCTGGGTAGAGGCTGAGAGATGAAATCTGTTCAACCCATTTGCTTTTTTCAGCTTGGTTGGCCTTCTTTCAGAACTAATTGATATCTTAGTGGATGTGAACATTACTGCAAACATTAAATGCACGAATTTTGAGTCGGGCACAGTGCAGGTCGTCATTGAAGACTGCCTCTGCATTCTTGGTGCCATAAAGATCAAGGTCCTTTCTGGGTAAGTTCCTGTGGATTTATGTTTTCCACTGCCTGTAATCCTCCTCTCTTTATCCCATGATCTAGACAGTCTGCCAGGACACAGACGGTGCTAAGCTGATACAGAGCCAGGCCTCAGGGAAGTAATTTCTTTCCCATTGCCAAGGCCCGTTGCTTCAGTGGAACTGGCAAAAAATTTGGTTGTTGGAAGGTGGGGGTTGATTTGCTCTCTTTGCCCGTGGAAATTTTAAGATCTGGAGTATGAGGTTTGGTACCTCTTCCAGTGCCCTGTCTTTAGACTTAGCTAGTGAATTGATACCCAAAGGGTAGGAATAACAGGGCAGGGAGTGTTCCCGGAGAACAGCCCCGCTGCTTGCCCTGGTGTTATACTCTGCCTTTGGCTGCTGTCACAGAAAGATGCTGCACATATGGACTTTTGCTCTGACCACTGCAGGTGTGTGTAATTCCATGCACATGTCTCGTCTCTTGCTCAGTCTTATTAAATTCTTGGCAGAAGGAATTTGCTGACTTCATGTATTGATGAATGCAACAGTAAATTGATCATGGGAAATATTTTCTTTTATTGCTTTTGAATTACTCACTTTTCAGGTTCATTGAATTTCTGCTAATTAATTTTGGCATTATGCGTGATATTTCAATCAGTGCAGCAGCTGGTTTAAAAGAGACTGTGTAAGTGAACAGAGGAACATGGCTTGCCTGCTCTGGGGGTCGTATTAGAAGTTTCAGCAGGATTTAAGTGATGGTGTGCAGGAAGTGAACTCCCTGCGGGGGAAGGGGGAGAGTGGGTGTATGCGATTGACTTCATGGCAGTTCCTCAGATATGTCTGTAGGCAGAACTTGGGCATAAATAATGAGATGCATTATGAATTCCTGCTGTCTGTGGCTTGCTGAGTGTGCTGCTGCGTGTTCTAACTCAATAGTCCAGAAATATATTGATTATCAAAAGTAAATGGCTCTGTGCTGCCTGTGTGCGTCATGCACCCCTGAGTGGTCTGTTTAGCAGCAGCACCGAAATGTTACGCTGCAGATTTCTCCTTTTGTTATTCCACATGTAAATTGTTTGTTCCCCATAACTAACATGGAGAGATTTCATAACAACTCCACCTTCCCTTAACTACAGCACCGATTTAAATACCAGAGGGAGACGACCAAGCCCCGGTTACACGGCGAGAGGCTCTCTCCCTCTGTGCAGTGGTGTCTGCACACCCCAAGTGCTGAAGCCTTCACTTCTCAGAAATCAGCCCAATTCTCCCCTTGGTGGGGCGAGCAGCTCCTTGCCCCTCTTGCCTTTTGCACAGCCCCTGCTCCTGCCAGTATTGGCTGCCGCAGTGTCCCTGAAGGGATGGCTAAGGACCTAGTAGTATGCAAAATGAAGGCTGGAGATCCTTTGGTCTGGAGCTGTGTTTGTAGTGATTGGAATTTTTTTTTCTCCTTTCCAGCTTGCTGTCCCTATCAGTAAATGAGATAGTGCTTAACCAGCTGACAGCAACTCTGCCCGGTCTGGTAAGCCTGAAGATTGCCCTTCTCTCACAGCTGAAGCACAAATACCAGCAGCAACGTGTTACAAGGTCAAAGCGAGCTGCACCATCTTTCCGTGTTGCTTCCCCACATCGCTGGCGTGTGTGGCTCGGCCGGGATGCTGGTGCCCAGCCCGGCTGCTGCCGGTGTCTTGCTGCCCTCAGGCGATGCCTCAGATATTCCCCGGATCAAAGGAATCCCCTGGGGTGCGGGACCAGGCTCCGGGGATGCTCCGCCGCAGCACCCCAGCTGCTGCCGAAGGCCACGCAGCGCTTTTTCCCTGGGGATTTAGATTAAAAGGAGTGGGGCTGGTCAGGCTGTAGGGCGACGGCTCCCTGCAGAGGGGTGGCGAGGGGGGTTGAGCGCCCGCGTTTCTGCTTTGTGTTGCAGCTGTGTCCGGTGATCGGGATCGTCGTCAACCTCGTGAACATCCAGCTCCTGGGCACCCTCAACGGTGCGTGCCTCGGGGCGGACGAGCCGCCGCCTCCCCGCGTGCCCCGCCGGGGGACGTGCCCTTTCCCACGACCAGTCCCCGCGGGCAGCAGCTGCCCTTCTGCGGGGCCGGCGCCGCACCTTGAACTCGCACCCGAGCGCCCGGGCGAGCTGCTCGCACCTCGGGCCTCCTCACGCCATTTCTGTCCATCACCCTTGGATTTTGCTTTTTACCTGGGATGCCCGTTATGGGCCGTATTCTAAAGGCAGGTCCCACAGAGCTGAACCTGCGGCTGTTTTGCCCATTTTGAGTAGCAGCGAGCATCCCCCAGAAGTGGGTGCTGGGGACCTGGCTGGGGGTGGGGGGTCTGGCTGGTGGCCTGCGGGCTCAGGGGAGGACTTTGTGTTTCTGCCTATTTCCTGACGTAATGGTCTTTTTTCTCCGTGAAGCGGTGATCCCGGTGGGTACAGCAGGCACGATTCACTACCAGCTGGCCAGCCTCCCGTTTACCTCGGGCTTGTTCCTTGGGTTGGATTTAGACGTGAGTTAACGCTGGGCACAGGACCCTGCGAGCGTGGCTGCGGCGCGGCGCCTTTCGGGCCGTTCACCTCATCCCATGGGAGCCGTTGTCTTCTTCCAGTGAACCACCTGGAGGAGCTGGGCGAAGGGCTCCTTTAGGAAATGCTAACTAAATATTTAATCCTTATCCAAATTACCGCTAAGTGTCTGTGTACACTTTTCTCCAAGACCTCTTTCGCTCTGTTTGCAAACTTATCCTGAGACGGCGTGTCTGTTGTTTATAACTGCTGGGACGAGCGGCTTTATCCTCGCCCTTGCCCTGCCTGCAGACTGCGTGTTATCGCTTTTTGCCTTCTTTATTCAGTCTCTATCGTGGGTGAATGCTAAACCAAGCTAGGGGATGGATTTTTTACTTCGCTCTCACTGGGGAAAAAAAAAAAAAAAAAAAAGAAAAAAAGGCACCCCCCCCCCCCAGTAGTTTCAAACAGGAGAGCTTAAATAAAAGAAAGTGGCTAGTGAGAAGCAGCAGAAGCAATAAAGACTGCAAGGGCTGGTGACAAACACTGCAGTCTGTACGATCAGCGCGGCTGCTCTTGCTTTAGGGCTGGTACTTCCCTGGGTTTGGTCTTTGCCCCCCACCCGCAGCGCGTGGGTGCTGCTGGTGCCGGTCTGCCGCGGCGGCCGAGGGCTGGCTGGGTGCCGGGGGGAGGCAGAGCTGGGGCTGCGGGGCCGGGGCGCTCTGGGGCTCAAACCGCGGGGGTGAGCTGGAGCACTGAGGTGGCACTTGGACCAAGTGTGTTATTCGCTAAGAGGGCCCCGGTTCCGCGCTCTGGCCTTTAGCAGCTCCTTTAGCTGCTGAATACGGAGGGAGTTACTCCGCGTCCCGTGCTTTCCCGAAGCTCTTCCAGCTGGCACAGACCCCGCGCTCTCCGTCTCGGGGGTCTGGGCTTGCCCCGCGGCTCTGCCCGCTGGGTTTCACGCCGGTGCTGCCTCTTCGCAGGGTGCGGTGAAGCAGGTGGGAGGCAGCATCATCCCCCACGACTCGTCCGCCTCTGCTCTGCCTCCGCTGCTGGACAGGCTTCTGCTCTTGGGACTGCGCCAGAGCTTCCTCACCGCCGCCCTGTCCCTCCTGATCCAGATACCGCCGCAGAACTTCACCTGCACGTCGGAAGTCGTGAGTGTGGCGGCACCCCCATTTCAGTATGTCACGCCGGGGGGGGTGGCAGGGGACACGTGCCAGCATTCCTTGCCGGCTCACTTGCAGGTGCTCAGGCCCCGGTGCAGCTCCTGGCTGCTCTTTTCTGAAAGCCGTAGTACACGCGCCGTGATCAGCCAGTCTCATTTCTATGTGGGTACCCCCAGGGAGCCCTGTTGAAACCAGTTGCGTACTGGTTATGCTATGAGCTCCTGGAGGTCTGTAATCCATTTCAAGGAGTCTGGAAAATGTCACCGAGAAAAGCAACTTCGTATATGCAATGCAATTCTCTGGGAGCATGCGTTTTCTGCACCTTTGATCTGTATTTCCACTGGGAAATATGAGGAGTCTACACAGCGACAAATGTTGAAAGCCTCTGGATTGCACCTCCTTCGGCTGCTGGCTGTCCTCACTTTGACTGACTGGGAGTCGCTCGGGAAGCTGGGGAGCAACGGGGAAGGCGGAGGGCTCGGGGTGCTGCCCGGGGCCTCCTTGGGGACGGGGAGTGAACGAGGGCTCGGGGACTGGCCCCAGGAGCGCGACCAGGCTGGCTGGGAGCAGGGACACCGCTGGCAGCGGGGTGGCCGCAGCAGGACGGGCGCTGCTGAAATCGGCTGCCGCGCTCAGCTTGTGCTTTCGTTCCAACAGTTCTCCGGCGCCAGTCACCTGCAGGAAGCCATCGCCACCCTCCTTCCTGCTGGGGTGAGTAAGTTCTGCTGGTGTGTGAGGGTTTGTGTAAACCTCCCCAGCCCAAGGCCATCCAAGCGATGCACCCGGGCGTGCCGGTGTGCTGCTGCCAAAGGTCTCCGGTCTTCTGCTCGCTCCTCCTGGCCGTGCTGAGCCGGCAGCACAGCCGAGCCGTGCCGCAGAGCCCGGGGCTGCCCGGCGGGCTGGTGGGAGCGGGCGGAGGGGCTGGGGGGTTTGCTCCCAGCCCTCGGCAGCCCCTGCGCACCACCCGCTCCGCCGCGTGCCGTCGGCAGCAGCCAACCTCCCCCCGCCCCCTGAGCAGGGCATCGCCTTCTCTCGCGGCTCACAGCCGTCGGCAGAAAGAGCTGACCGATGTTTGGCATCTCCCGTCTCCTGGGCGCCACGGGTGCTCTCTTCCCCCTTGGCGTCCCCTTTTGCTTCCTCAGCCCCTCACTGCCCACAGCAAGGAGTGCCAACCCATGCTGCCAGACCTATTTGCTGTGTAAATTTGGCACGTCCAAGGTCTGTGTGACCTTGGGGAACACCCCGACAGAGTTATGGGGCTGTGAGAGTCCACCACAGGCCTGCCGGGCGCCCGCCTGGCCGGTGTGTGGGGTGCAGGTCCCCACCTCCACGAGTGCCCAATTCCCGCAGTGCTCCGCCTGCCCCAGAACCAGTCCTCTGAGCATTAAGCTAACATTGTCCGGGAACCCACACATCCTCTTGGAAGAAAACAAAGCCACCGTGGAGCTTTCAGTCATGATCCAGGTGTTCGTTAGGCATTTGGATGGCTCCATCCTCAACCTGCTGCTGCTGAAAGCTGTAAGTGTGGGTGGAAACGCCTTCAGCTGGTGAAGCGTGCGGCCAGCCGCGTGCCTGGCAGCTGGGACGGGGACGTCTCCACGGGCTGATCCTCTCCCCGTCTGCTTGCAGGACCTCGGTCTGAACGCCCGCGTGTCGATGGCTGGGGGCAGACTGGTGCTGGGGCTGTCCCTGGGCAGGTAGGCTGTCCCCGCGGGGGGCTCGGAGCCAAACCTGCTCCAGCACCCCAGCCTGCCCCCTCCCCCAGACACCGCTGGGCGCTCAGCCGTGCCGGGGAGCTCCGGCTTTCCCGGGGCACAGGGCGCGGGTTCGGTTTTCTGGGAAGCAGTGGCCAGAATGGAGCAGGACAGCGGGAAGGGATGGGAGCGTTGAACAAGCACGGCCGTCACCAGCGCTGCCCTTGGACAGGCTGGTGACATTCCCTGCATTGCCACCTTAGCTCGGCAGCTGCTAACTTGAAATCTTTTCAATGTCTGTAAAACAGGCATTTCATTTCCTGAATCTGAGAATTTCATACCTGGCCGGTGGCATGAGGTAGACAGGTATCGCTGACTTTCAGGGAGCATTATGGCAGTGGGAAAGTTTTAGGAGACTGGAAGAAAAGTCTCTGTCAGTTTTGTAACAAGGAGAAATGAGGTAACCTGAATAACTGTAAAACTGTCAGCTTGACTTTGTTCTTGGGCAGTAGTTTGAAATGTCTGATATTGGACATGAGTGATAAAGGAGTAAAGGAAAGTACTGTCATTAATGCCAGTCAAGGTATGATTAAAGATTGGAAGGCATTCCTTATAGTGTGAGGTTTGAGGATTTCAACCCATTTAGCTTGTCAAAGTGCTAGATTTAGAAGGAAAATTGGCATAGCTTGTATGCAGCAATATACAGAATAGAAATGCATCAAAGGGCTTTTACTTCAATAGACATATAACAAGATTCAACAGAAGTAGAAAGGAGAAATTCAAAGTGGAAATAAAGCATATGTTTTAGCTGTGGAGATAGTTGGCTGACTGCAATGACAGATTAGGAGCTGTAGCAAATTCTTCAGAGCTCATGATTTTTAAATCCAGAGTGGATGCTTTTTCTAGAAGCTCTGCTCTCAGCTAACCAGGAGCTGACTCCTTCCCTAAGATGAGTAACGACCTGGGCGCGGGAGAGGGGAGGGGCGGCCAGGAGCTGGCGTGTGCCCTCCTGTAGTGCTGTTTCGTTTACAAGCAAATAAAAATTTGCAGCTTTTATTCTCCTATTTTCTCTCTTGCAAGCGTGGCAGGGCCTGCTTTTTGCCACGCTGTTGTGACCCCTCTGTGGCCGCCCCGGTGACTTCTCTCAGGGAGCCCTTGCCCGCGCCCCGGGTGACGCTGCTCTAGGAGGTGGCGGGGGTCTCGCGGAGGGGCCTGTGAGCTCTGCTTGTGCCTCGGTGTCTGACGTGCTGTTTTCTTCTCTTTCCTGCAGCACTTCCCTCTCCTTGGAGTCTTCCGACGTTGGCATCAGTAACGTAAGTCTCTCACGGCAGCCTCGGGTGGCCTGGCTGGGCAGGGCTGTGCCCCTCGGGGAGTGGGGGGACGCGCGGTCGCTGTGTGATGCTCTAACGTGTCCTGGCTGTGATGGATTACATCTGCTGAGGGTCTTCGTTGGTGGCTGCTCCACTTTGTACCTTGTAGCCATTCTTTGGCTGCTTTTTTTTTTTTTTTTTTTTCCCCCTTACGCCTTTTCTAGTAATGGAAGTGTAAAGCCTGAAAGTCTGTTTGTTCGTTCACCCCTGCTCGGGCAAAGCTCACGCGGAGCTCCAGCAGGAGTGTTACCCGGTGGGAGGTTTCCCAAAGGAAACACCAAATACAAATCGAGGAAGGAAAGTAGATATCCTTTAAAGAAAAGAGGGACTATCTTTTCTTTTGTTGTGTCGGTGGGAAGTGATTTCCAGTCCCGAGGACTGGCCGTCTTCCAGCCGCAGCGCCGGGCTGTGCTCGCCGCTGCCGCGTGCCTTCACGCTTGTCCCTTCCCTGGTTCAGATCTCCGACCTGGAGCCGCACTGCAGCAGCCTGCTGGCCGAAACGCTGCTGCCCCTGATCAACGGTAAGGTGACCGCCGGGGTAGCTGTGACCCCGGCGGCGCTGCGGGGACGGCGGGGGGGGGGGATGTGTGACCGAAGGCTGTAGCAGGAGCGCGGGAGCGGTTGGAGGTCCGCAGCCCCCGCGGCGGGGCTGTGGTTAACAGCCCCAACCCTTCCCTTACACCACCCACCCCGGCTGCAGTTCGCAGCAGGGAGCGTAAGGAAAGCCAAGCTCCCTTCAGCCCCCCCGGAGCAGCTTGGCCAGGGGGCTCACCCCTCCTGTCTGTCCCCCGCAGGCGCTCTGGGCATCGGGATCCCGCTGCCAAACGTGCTGGGCATTCCCCTGGTAGAGGTGGATATTCGGATATTAGCGGTAAGTGCGCGGCAGGGCCGTTTCCCCCCCGGCGAGGCACGGGTGCAGGTCTCTGGGGCTGTTTCTAGCTGCTGGCTGCTGTCACGGGGCCCTGCCCGTGGGGGCTGAGGCTGCAGGAGCTGTAGGTTTTAAGCCGTGGAAGGTCAGAAAGGGTTTGCTGTGTCTGACCTCCTGCCCGTCAGCAGATGCTGCCCGAGTACTTCGCGCCCGTGGGTGTTACCCAGCCGGGCGTGGGGTGAGCACTGCTCTGCCCTGCTGGGGTGGGTCCAGGCAGCTCCCCTTTCTGGAGAGCTCTGGGGGCAGCTCCGCTGTGGGTCCGGGGGGGTCTGGCCAGCCCTTGCGAGCGGCACCGTTCAAAGTGTCTCGAATGGCACCAAATTCCAGCCCTGTGCACCCTGGAGACGTCCCAGAGGAGCTGGGATCTTCTCCGATGCTTCCCAAAGGGCACCGTGCCCTTCTCGCTTCAAATCTGACGCGAGGATTTTTGCAAGAGCGTTTGCTGCGTGTTGCTGACAAGCTGTTGTGAACCGGCGTCCCTTGAAGTCGGGAAATAACACGGATGTGTCGCTCCTCGCACTCCTTCAGGGCCTGCTGGTGATTCTTGTGTGAGCTGGGGAGCACAAGGCACGGAGGGATCTTTCTGGGCATGGAGAGAGGAAGAAAGACCAGCGAGGATGGAACGATGAGACCAGCAATATCTACTTTTCTTTTCTAAACTTGATTCAAGATTCTTGATAACGTTTAAGACACTTTAAGGTTAATTGGCTCGTGCGAGTACTAAGATACTCGTATAAGCCAAACCCCAATAGGCAGCTCTGTGTACAAATATTTATTTAGAGAAATTAGCATGATTTTGGGGTCACAGTTATAGGAGTTGCACGTGATGCTGCAGTGGAATTGTTAACTTTGTTCTGAGGGAAAATTGTTCTTGATGTAATGAAAAATTGCAAACAGCTTTCTAAGTGAATGTCACCATCCACGTTCAGAAGGGTATGAAGTGCTGAGCAGGAGCTCAGGATACATTTGTCATGTAACTCTTTTAATAAACATTCCTGCTTTTTTAGTGCTTGGAATGAGGTTCTGGTTTCTGATGCTTCTCAGGGAGAGTATCTGTCCTGCCTCCTGGGATGGGATCTGGTTCCTTTGTGACAACTGATATTTTGGGTTTTGGTTTGAAAACTTTTCCACTCAAACTTCCCGAGAGGAAAAAAGAGCTTGGCTTTTCAGTGGCTACTCCTGGCCAGGTAACCTACTGACGAAATGCTAATCCACAAGCAGAAATCAGAATGAAATCAAAGTTCCAAAGGTCATGGAACATTTCCTAATAGAATCTGAAGGGAAAACTTCATTTCCAGATAACTGAGAAGTACGATATCACTGGAGCACACCCAGCTGCCTGCAATAGCCCACGTCTGCTTAGACCGATGTAACAGTCAGCTGATGTCTGCACCTCACAGGGAAAAGAATTCAGGCATTTTTGATTTCAGAAAAACAAATGACTCTGAGTAAAAAATAAATATACCCAAGGTCTTCAATGGCTTCTCCAGTGTCTGTTTTCCCAGCACTAGATGCTATGACTAGTGTGTTCTGTATTGCTTGTGTCCCCAGAGCTGACGGCCGTGTGTCACTGACGGGTGACGCGCAGAAGAGGTCTAGCACGGATCAGGTAACGGCCAGGGGCTGTTCTGCTTTTCTGCCGACAGGTAAGAGCAGGTCCATATCTGCCGGGCCGCAGCCTGTGGCTGTTGCATTCATTTCCAGCATCCCCGTGAGGTGTCGCTGAGGAATCGCGGCGCGCAGCAGCAGGACAGGCTGGGCCCGTCGGCAGTCCTGGCTCGCGCACACCGGCCAGAGCTCCCCTGCGCTGTGCCCAGGGGCAAACCTGGTGTCACACGCTGTCGCCGCGTGGGCTGGGGGGTCTTGTGTCACAGCAGGAGGGGTTTGGGCGGGTTGAAGCACACGGCAACGCTGGAGACCGGTGTCCTGGCGAGTGTGACTGGCTCCTTCGGTTCCCAGCCCCGTGCAGGCTGCAGGTGCCAGGGGGACCGTGCTCTCCAAAGGCCCTTCAGCTGCTGGTAACAGGGACCCTGCCCTGTCCCCGGGCAGAAATGATGCTCCTGCGTGGTGAGGGGACTCCCTGCTCAAGCAGCCCCAGCTAAACCCCGCGGGTGAAGAGCTCCTGCAAAGCAAGACGTGAACAAGGGGGAATGCTGTGGACCCTTGGGGCGTGCTCGTGAGCCGGGAGTGGGGTCTGAACCCCACCGTGCCCTCTGACGCCGCTGAGCCCACGGGGCTGGCAGAGCGGGGTTCTGGGGGGCTGTGTCACCCCCTTACCTGCACTGGCACCCGCACGGCCGGAGCACTCCCAGCTGCTCTGTGCCACCTCGGGGTTACTGGACCCATTGGGCTTGGCTTCTCCATCCATCCTTTTTGCCCACAGGTTGGCATAATGGGCTTTGTTTGTACAAGGTTTTGTTCTGATTCCTGAGCAGACACCTTCTGTGTGGTAAGTCAAGTTTAGCACCTTTTTTTTGCAGAGTCTTTTGGCCAGAACTTCTGTGGGCATTTTCTTTTGCTGGAGGGGATTAATTTTGCCGGCACACTACAGTCTCATCTGTGATCTGACACTGTCCCGAGGGCCTGCTTGCCTTAAAGTGTAACTGGAGAGCTCGCTGCCTCGCAGGGCTGGGGCTGCGCGGGCCTGGGATTGCAGAAAAATTGAAAAAGTCGTCTTGTGCATCTGGAAACAGCTTTTTCCTCCCAGGGCCTGGCCTTTGTCATGCCGTTTATTGCACAGGGCTGAGCGGGAAGGAGCAGAGGAACCTTTTCAAAAGGAAAGGGCAGCATCTCCTTGGTGTGTCTCGTTACTTCTGCAACTCGTAAATCTAGTGCTCTGAACTGCTGGTGGGTTAAGGAGTAAATCCAGAGCAGGAAACGGCAAGTCAGGATTCAGAAGAACTGGGACAATCCTGTCCACAGTGGAAAAAAAATACTAAGCGGCTGTTTTCCAGTGCGCTGGCACCCCGACATGCTGGAAAAACCTTTGAGCGGGTGAGCGGTGGGAGCGGGGTGTGAGGGGCTGGTGGCTCTGCCTGGGCTGCGCGCGGGGCCTCGGGCTCTCCGGCCCTTGCTCCAGGAGCGTCCCGGTGAGGCTGCATCCCTCGGCCGCTCCGCGGGGGCTGGCGAAGGGGCTCGTCTCCGTTTCTGCAGCGTTTGAACCCTCCGGCTGCCCCGTCCCGTTCCCTGCAGCTCCGGCAGGGGAAGCCGTGTGTTACCAGGCGGCTCCTCCTGCGGGACCCTGGGGTGGTGCCCAGGAAAACGACGGATTTTGTTTATGCCAAAGGCGTTAACAAAACCACTTTTTTTTTTCAGCATTTCTCTTTCCAGGTGAGCCCAAAATGTCCGTGGGGGACAGCAGTGGCCGTCTCGGGCGGGTGCGGCTGTGCCGGTGGGCCCAGGCAGCCGGGGGACGGGAGGGAGCAGCAGAAGCCCCCCCGTTCTCCAGCGAGGGCCAGCTCTGCCCCCCAGCCTGCGGCTGGCCCCAGCTGGGAGCTGTGGGGCGGCGAGCCGGGGTGCGCCGCTGCTGTGACCCCAGCCCTACGCTGGCGATGCCCAGCCGCGCCCCAACGCCAGAATATCCGCTGGCAAACAAATACATCTTTTTCCTGCTGTAGCTTATTCCTTTTGGGAAGCTGTTTTAAGATATATTAGTCAAAGAATAATGGTTGCAGGTCTACCAGGAAACTTTTATTAGGAACAGTTCCCGCTATTGCCAACTTCGGGCATTAAAATCATTAGTCAGGTCCCCAAGCTGGGCATATAAACCTTCAGGGTTTTTTACTCCTTGCAATAAATCAGCTTGGCTTGTTTTGTTTGCTTTCCTATTTCTGAGTCTCTGAAATATGAGGTTTTGAAGCGCTTTTCAGCAGCTCCAGAGGCTAGAAATGATGTGTATAGCTGTTGCAAGCGAAAGCAGATGTATGTGTAATTAATGTGGTTTCTCGGGCGTCGCCGGTGCGGGGCTGTGCAGCCGCGGGGAGGACGCTCCCCCCGGCCCCCGCACGGCGCCGCGCTCGCCCTGGCCGGGGGCGGCTGCCGACAGCACCCAGTGCTGGGGCGGCTTGAGGAGCCCCGTTACCAGCCCACCCTTCCATTTCGGACCCTCCAGTCTGCTGGGGATTTTCGTCTCCCATTTTAGGTTCCCAAGCAGCCTCTCGAGCGCGAAGGCTGGCCTGGTCGGGAGGAGCGAGCAGGAGCTGCAGTGCTGACCAGTGCCGAGCCGCCGTGGAGAGCCCCCTCTGCGTGTGCAATCACATTTCATTCAGCGTTTTTTTTCTCTGATGAGCTTTGTCAGAAGTACAGTTTGGAAAATATAACTGCCTTCCAGTCTAAAATTAGAAACCATTGTGCAGACTGATTTTTTTTTTTCTTCCCCTCTTCTTTCTGACCCAGGGAAAAGCACCAGCTGTAATGTTCCCATAGTAACACGAGAAATGGAGGAAAAGCAGATGAAAGATCTCTTGTTGGTAGGGGCCATGTCGTTCTGCAGCTGAGACACGGGGCTGCTTTGCATCCTTATAAATTAGTGGAATTTTCATGCTCCCTTAATTAAATGTAAGGTTTGGACATCTGTACTGGTACCAGTTCTTAGCAAAACAAAATTCATCTGTCTTTAGGTACAAATCATTGAGGAGAAAAAAATCGATATTCATACCAGAAAATGCAGTATGAAAGAAATGTTTAATTAAAGCATGGAGCATTGTTACAATCCATCCTCTTTATGCAACAAAAATACCAAGAGCAGGACTGAAAGACAAGGGTGCTTGTGCAATGCCGTTACTACCCTAAATATGAGAAAGTGTTGGTTTTTGGGTAAGGCGAGAAAGAAGATTTTGAACATTTCAAGTAGTGACAAAAAACAAAGCATGATTTCAGTGTCAACACTTTTGCCACCGTTTTACTCCGGACACCAGAGTTCAGCCCACAGTGGTCTGCTCTCCAGTTGTCGCCTGTAGCTCCAGGTTGCAGGGGACCAAGACATAGTCCTAAGCGAGGGGAGAAGCAAGAGCTGAAGGTGCCTGTGGGTCCCATCAGCCCGCGTGGGGCTTTCGGCAGCCCAGGGGCCCCTCCAACACGGCTCGTGGTCGTGTCAGTGGGGCTAGAGAGGAACTACGCCTGCTGCAGGGGATGACACCTGGTTCTGCGGGGTGAGAGGGCTGGAGGAGCAGGCTCTGGTTTATTTTGGAGCCACGAGGCAAGCACTGCTCCTGGGTTCCCTTTACAGACACAGCAGGGAGCAGTTTAAACGTCTTCTTTCTTACCTTGTGAATCACGATGTTGACGTCGGTGTAGGTAAAGCTGGAGATGTGGGGCAGGAACACGCCTTCGCTCAGGACCACTGGGAAAAGGAAGAGGGGAAGTTGCCAGCCGGGCGCTGCCTTCGGCCTCGCCGCGCGTCCTGCACAGCAGCACCCCTGCAAAACCCACCGTTCATCTGAGCCGGCACCTCCTCACGGACTGTGGGCAAAAATAACTCCTCCAGCAAGGCAGCCTGCCAAAGGGAAAAGGCACGGTCAGCTCGCTCGCGGCGTGAGCCTAAAGCAGAAGGAGAGGGGCAGGGAGCAGCAGGGGAGGGGTCCTGGTGCTCACTGCACCCCCCCGGCCCCGCAGGGACCCGCCGCTGCCCCGGGGAGGTTTGGGGCAGCCCGAGCCGGCGGGGGGGGCCGAGGGAGCCCCCTCCCGGGCTGCCCGGGGACGGTGCGGAGGAGTGGGCTGTCGTGTCCTGCAGTCACAGCGGTGCAAGGAGGGGCCGTGGTTGCGCTCGGTCACTCGGGGGGTGCGCGGCGGGGGGCACCTACCGGCACGGGACCCACGTCGGAGGCAGCCAGGCTGAGCTCAATATCCCTGGAAAACAAAGAGCAGCACAGGCGCTGCTTGTCATTAGTCCTGCTAAGCAGTGACTTTCGTGTTCCCCCGAACACCGCCGCTGAGTCCAGGGCCAAGCCAGGTGTGAACGTGGTGCCTGCGCACATCTGGGCAGGGGCTGGAGCGTTAATCTCTCCCCCCCCGGCAC